AATGACAGCCTCCAAACATTTCTTATATTTATCTATAAGCTTCTTGCACTTCTTGGGTGGAATTTTCTCCTACTCTTCTTTTGCAATCTGCTCGAGCACTGGTACATTTGCAGGTTTCCTTTCTCCAATGGAAGATTTTAGCTCTACCCAAAGATTTTCAATTGGATTGAGATCAGGACTCATTGCTGACCATTTTAAAACAGTCTATTTTTTCCCTTTCAACCATGCCTGCGTGCTTTTGGAGGTGTGCTTTGGGTCATTATCTTGCCTCAAACCAAGCTTTCTTACACTGGGCAAGACGTTTCACTGTAAAATTTCTAGATAATCTTCTGATTTCATGATGCCTGTGATACGGTCAAGGCCTCCAGTACCAGATGCCGCGAAGCAGCCCCACAGCATTATGATTCCTCCACCATGCTTGAATGTTGGCATGGTGTTCTTTTCTTTAGAGGGTTCATTGCGCCGTCTGTAAACATACTGTTGGTGTGAATTAGGGTTGTCAAAAGTATGAAAATTTGTATCCGGATACAATACTCATTTTCAAAAGTATCGATACAGTGCTACCACCAGTGGCACCTAAACAGTCATTCATTATATGCGCAGATAAGAGGAAAATGCACTTTCTGAACACTGTGTGATTGAATAATTCTGTGCACTTTTTGGTTTCAGACTTTTTTCTGTAACAGGTGCGGCTGCTGAGAATGAGTTTTGTTTTTTAACTGGTTTGGCTATTTTCATTGTTATGTGTGTAAAGCATAGCCAAGGAAGGAATACTTAATTTTAATTTTGTAAGTTTTTTATCAAGCTTGCTTAATATTCTGCACAGCGAACAACCTCAAAATATTGTTTATTGTATTTATTTATCTATTTATTGTATTTTGTTTATTAATGAGAAATTTTCTGTTGAATTTTGGAGTCTTTGTTTTTATCCTTGTGGTATCGAAAATGACATTGAGTATCGAATATTTTACTTAGTATCGGTATCGAGTTGAAAAGTTTAGTATCGTGACAACCCTAGTGTGAATTACCAAAAAGCTCCACTTTTGTTTCATC